TGAATTTTAATGATGATGTGTGCATATAATAATTTTTTTGCCTGAGGAAATAAAATAGAATATTCTATGGTAAAGAGAGGTAGGTTAAGGCATGTTTTGTTTCTGAATTTTTGTTTACAAGCCTCTTCTCTTCTACAAAAAAAGACTGTAATTCTCATTTCAGATGAAGGCCAGAAAGCAAGTTTTCAAATTTTAAGACTTCATAAGACCTATTTACAGGTCATAAGTGGTTTCATAAGAACAATTAAACAATTAACACCTTAACAGGTGTTTCCTTGTGCAGATTTGTCTCTTAGTATTTGTGTATCTCTTTGTATGTGTAGTCATTCTGAACTGAAGGAGATTTTTTATATGTATGAAATTATTCACACAAGCAAATACTAAATAGAATAAAAGTAACGAAAAAAAGTTTAACTCTGAATATAAAAAGTATTTTTCTGTGCTTGGTATACACATACTGCTGTACTAAAAGTCTCTGCTACCTGTTTCAATCATCACAAGGAAGAAGTTGTCAGTCAAAATATACGGTCTTCAGCTTAAAATGAAAAAAATTTACTATAAAATGTTAAAAGATTTGTTTTTTACATAAATCCAATGAAAACCTAAGTATTAATTGATAGTATTGTTATTCAAGTTTCAGTGTARTTCACTTCTGCTCATGAATGCTGGGCTAAAATCTTGGCAGAAATAATGCCTCTGTCACCTTCTGCAAGTCAGAAATTGGATTTAATGCCACTTAGTTTTTGAAATATCAGGAGTTGAAATACCAGAAGTTCACATTTAACAGACCTGGATATGCTTTTCATAAATATCAAGATTTTTCCAAATGTTGTRCACTAGAATATCCTGCCTTGATCCACTGTGTTTTGTACTCTCCTTTGCCCTCCCCTTCCCCTCTGAGGTACCAGCTAGAGGATGCTCTTTAAGAATGTAAYAGGTATTAACTATTGCTGCATATTATCTCTGTTGCTGATGTTTAAAAAAAAGTAGATTTAAAATCCAGAAAAGGAAGTTACTGAACCAAACAGAAAAAAAAGTTTACTGTAAAACTGTTCCTCTAAAAGCTGTTATAAAATTCAATACWAAATTTAATTCCAAAATATGTGTGAAGAGGTTGTAAACCAGGAGTGCTCTTTTCGTTGTTTCCTAGTTTTCCATGTGGATTTTCTGGRTGCAACCAGAGCAGCAAAAATGCTGAGATTTCTCATTTCAAGCCTTACAARGACAGGCATTTATCTCAAAAGAACCACCTTCAAAAGATTGGGTGCTTTTACCACCAGTACTGTTGGGCCCACTTGTAACAACCTCAGTGGAAAATTAGCAGCACACATTTTCATAATTCAATCTTTCATTTAGATAATGCAAAGTCTCCCTAATTGTTTCTGTGGTGCTTGATTGGTGCTGGAGTAGGACTGTGGGAGTGTTACCCCTCAGGGACCAGGGATCATCKTGCAAATGAGATGTGGATCTTTTCAGGCTGCTGGCATGGATGAAATTTTAACTAGGTAAGGCCGGGTATAAGAGATTTTGTTAGAACTGCTCAGTAATAATAGTAAAAGTTCTGGAAGCTGATTTTTTTCCTGCTTTGATAGCAATGGTAATGGTTTAAGATTAATTTTAGCAGTAACCAAAAAAAAAAAAAAAAAAAAAAAAAGAAAAATGTGTAATTGCAGTATTTAAAGCCCTGAGGCAAATCAGTGGAAATGCTTTGGAAAGGATAATTATACCTGCATAGGGAAGAAGATCTATTTAATAGCATTAACTGGCCCAATTAAGGAGAAGTGGAGGAAGGGCCGATCTGTTACTTCTTGAACTGTTCATTGAAAAAGTGGTTTCAATATTCAAGCAGTAGAAATTGGTTTGGCTTTTTCCAAGGTGATTCCCCAAGGTTTAAACATTTTAAGGACTATTGGAGGGATCTTGTCTCCAGTTGTTAGTCACATCCCAGACGTGCAGGTGTTACACCATTCAAACAAGAGAGATCTCAGTGTGTTTACATGGCAGGCAATRAGATTCACATCACTAACCTAATCTGGCATAATCCCAGTCTAAACATCCATAAGAGATTATTTTTAAGCAGGGGAAGACGGGACAAAAAGAGGATTCTTGTTCCAAAAGAGCTGCAGGTTTGGTTATTTTACCACTGGTAAGAGCTAGGGACTGCAGGGTGGTGAGTGCAGAGGAGGWTCTGCTGCCACAATGTTTTCCTGAGGGTTGCCCTGCTCTGACAAACAGTGATGTGTGTGTTTTTAATGTAGGTGTGGAACAGACTGGTGTGTGCACACACCAGTACCTACCAGCTAGCATGGGGATTTTGTGTCAAAGAATTCAAGGGTACATTCTCAGATATATAAGCAGACATGGACTTTACCAGGGGGAGCAGAGAGAACAGAGTTTAAGAGGGTTTTAATCCTTRTCTTTCATTTCCTTGCTGTAGTGCTGCCATTGCTTCTGGCGCTGTCCTCAGATCGTGARTGGTTACAAAAGTTTTAGTTGAAAGCGAAGGCCAAAGCTCACTTTGTGCAGTTGCACAGGGGTAGTGGCACTGTGTGCAAAGGGCAGCATTGGCCTCTTCAGAGTTGTAGGCCAGGATTTTTTTTTTTTCAGCATGTGTTTAATTTGTGCTTTCCAAGGCAGCCAGTTGGAACCGCAGAACATAATTTAGGTAAGAGCCAGCTCTGGCATTGGTAAAGCAATCACACCTTCCTTTATAACCTAAGTAGGCAATAGCACAAAGTCACTCTCTGCCATCACCCACAGAACCCACTGCAGAGAGCACAGAGCCTAATTACTTAAAATGAGCCACAATCCATTAAAACAGGATTATGTAATCAGGAAAAGGATAACTAGAAACTTTAGAGTTAAAACCCTCAAAATTTGAATAATAAAAAGCATTTTTATTTAAAGCTGACAAAGAGTTCATTGTTTCCTTTTCAGTGAGAATATCAAGAGTGGTTAAGAACATCAAACAGGCAGAAGGTGATGGACTGTTACAGTAACATACACGTTACCACCTGCAAAAAAGATTTGGCATGAGAGGTGGCAGGAGAGAAATGAGTACTCAGCAGGAACAACAATTCTGGTTTATTTGAGTCCAGATCYTACAGTGGCTTTACACAGACTTATTCAAGTAGAATGATCTAGTCCAAGGAGAAGTTCTCTGAGCTTTGTGCTTCAATTAATCTTCTCATTCTATTGATTAATKCTGACACCTTATCCCTCCTATTAACCAACCCTAGTGCATTTCCAATCCCTGACCAGTGTGCTTAAGGACTAGCAAAGAAATTTCCAACCACAACACATGGCTTTCATGGGGCAGTCCTTTAATGATTAATAAAAATATGAATGGCACCAGAACAGCCACTCTTCTTAATTTCAGCTACTAAAAAGAAAAACAGGAGCCATGGAAAGATGCTGACACTGTCACCTGCTAAGATTTTTTTTTTAAAAGTCACTTTTGCCTCTCCTATTCAAGTTATGCCTATACGTTTATATTATAAAATCCTTGTAATTCACCTTTAAAATGGTATTTTTCTTACAACAGAAAAGAGAAAAATGCAGGGATTTTAAAAGACTGTTAAAGCCACAGTAGATCCCCAGAAAAGACTGCACATCTCATGATCTCTGATGGAAGCACAAACACATGGCTTTGATCTGCGTAAGTTAAAAAAGTAGTTAAGCAATGCACTTGGGAAATTTTAATTCTCATTCTACATTTCTTCAGCACTGAGGGCTGCTCAGCTCTAGATTTTTAATTTAATCTGTTTTATAAATGGCTGTTTGCAAAATTGTATGGAGTTAGGCTAAGTTCTGAGTTTTCCTATGATATGGAAATATTCAGCCTAGATCTCAAATTCTCGCTTCATCTTCTCTCAGCACAAGTGTGTACTACTGACTGACAAACAAGCAGCTTCAATRTGTTGCTGTAAGGCACACAATAAATTATAGACCCTGCTCCAAAACTGTGAATGTATTAATGCTGCTGCTGCAATTGCATGAAAATCTTAGTTTGGGAAAATGTGATGCATCCATCCCAAACTACRTACCCAGAATTTTCCAGCAGGTAAGTGAACAAGTGTGAGGTTAAATGGAAACAGTGTATGTTGAGCCAAAAATTATTACCCAATAGCATCTATAAACAAAGGCAGAAACCTTTTTGTCCCTGATATTCTTTTCATTCAGTGGAACCAGAGCAGCATATTTAATGGTTTGCCATGGAAGTAGCACATTCCTGACTGTAATTAGAAGTGCAAACTGGCAACACTGAAACTAATACAGAGAAAAGAGCTGCTGGCCCTGCTGCAGTGCCCGGGTGGAGCTGATGGAGGTGAAGGAAACAGATGAGAGTGATGGACTTAGACATCCACACACAGCACAGAGAATGGAWCTGACAATATCCCAACATTTAACAACAGCCATTATTTTCTTTAAAATGTCCTTCATGGGGGATATGGCTCCCCAAACAAGAAATGCAGCAGATTCGTAGGTAGCAAAGCACACCAGTTGTTGGCCAAAATCCAACTTCAGTAATTACACTCTTTTCTTAAATTCCCCCTGCAGCTCAGTTGGAATAAAGCTCTTTTTCAGCCTGTCCYGGAGCATTGTGTAGTTTCTCAGTGAAGCTGTACAACACTGAAAAATATCTCCTCCCATTAAAATTGCCCAGGCAATTTAGGTAGACAGAAAGCTATTACCAGAGTTGGAATGTGGGCAGAACACCAAGGTTAACTTACACTTGCATTGGGATCAAGGGATCTTTGCTGACTRGGAGTGTCAGACCCTCATTAAAGAGCACAAGTGGGAATAGCTCACTGTGCTGCCTGAATACAAACCTGGCAACTTGGGATCTCTGCCCCTGGAAGCACCCCAACACCTGTGAGATTTCCTAACAAATGACTCTATAAAAGCTTCTGATGCTGGGGAGTATCTTATCATGACTTTTTTTGGTTATTTMATAATATTTATAAAATTATTTATTGATAAAAAAAAAGTTCCAGAAACTTTTTTTTTAAAAAAGACCCCATGCACAAAAAACAAACTGCATTTTAAAAAAGTTTACCAAGCAGAAAGCAGCAATCTAGTCCAAATATGCTGAGGCAAGTATTTTAATTTGAGTCAGTAGATACACCAAGAACCCCACAGAGTATTTAAGTATTTAAGCAATCTGAGCCAGGCCTGCAGCAGGAGTGAAAGCATTCTGTGTTATGTTAAATAGACAGCTGTAACAGTTTTCTTACCCTCCAAAGTAGCAGCCAKTTAAAATATTTAGGTAACTGACTCCCAAATTCGTTTATACCCAAAAAATTAATTCTTACTAAACAAGAATAATTTAGAACAGTCAGTGTACAAATTCCTGTAGGAAGGAATCCATCACTGAGTCTGTTACTTATATTTTTTGCCTCTTTTTTTCTTTTCTTCCGGCAGTTGCCTTTCTTCTTTCAATTCAGGRCAGCTCTGATCTTGGGGTTTTAATTTCCCCCATTTCTTTACACTCAAATTTTTTATACTTCCTTGCGTGCAGCCACCTGAGGGTGAGCAGCACAGCGATGCCAACGCCAGCAGTCAGGACAATCACGGTGACCACAGCACTAATGCCAGCTGCCAGCTGCCTCATGCAGAACTCTGGGGGCTTTTCATCAACATAGGAAATCCAGAGCTTTTCAATAGCCAGAGCATCTCCTTTGACCGAGAGAGTCAATTTACTGCTGGGATGAAATACAGAGTCATTGTTTACATCTTTTTCAAAGTAATAGGCTGCATCAGCTATGTCTACATCCCACCTGGGTTTCTCGTTCTGGTTCAGGCGGATTTGGATGAGTGGGGGATCGTACTTGATGGCTGAGATGTACTTGGGGTTCAGCTTGTACCTGCTCTCAAACAGCTGTGTCAGGGCCTTTGCCACGTCAGAGACACGGAAGGCACTGGACCTTCTCCGGTGTGTCACTTCGATGTAGATCCACCTTGTCCGCACCAGCTCGCTGCAGTTCAGGCTCCTGTCTCCCTTCTCAGTCCTGCGCACTCCGGCAGAGTTCACACACCAGCAGCTGCTGGATTCATTGCACTGCCTGGCTTTGAACAYGCCACTGTCCTCGCAGTCGGGGTTGTAAATGCCATCGCTGTCTGAGAGCGCATGGGGAGGTTTCCAGAGACGCTTCTCCTTCCAGGGGATCATTTCTGCCTTCATCAGGAAGCATTTTGAAGTCAGGGTTGAGCAGTCCACGGGGTGGTCTGAGCCTTGCAGGCTGCAGGTGCAGATCCCAGAGCTGTCCTGGGCACACACTGCCCACTTGTTGGTCGCACAGGTACAGTTGCTGTGGGCTGGGGAAGCGACTGCCACAATCAAACCCAGCACAGCCCCAAAAAGAGGCTCCATAGTGCAGGAGAAAAGCACAGATAAAATCCTGAGTGACAGCAGGCAGCATCTGAGGCTTTAATCTACTGATGGAGCCTGCTCATTCCTACACACTGCTGCTCCCTTTATTGATTCAAACCAGACCCACCAAACAGGTTCTTCTTCCAAAACAACTGGCATCTCCTACCCAAATCCCAGTCAACAAGCTGAAGCTTTCCAGCTCCCTGTTACTTCTCAGGGAGTGGCACCTGCATCCAGGTGCCTCCCTCACTCCTGCTTGACGAGGAAACAACAGGCAAGAGACAGAATCCAAGCTCCTACCATGGRCTTCCGTTACGGATTAAAGACAAGCAGCTGGCCCTTTGCCTTCTTAGAATTTGTTTGCACTATATGCAAACGTGTATAAGGAGCTATCCCATTTCAGTTGGAAGAAATCCTACTCTTCCACTTCCATCCTGGCTTTTCATCTGTCTTTCACTACACAGCATCTCTATCATTCCACTATCTAGATTATTATGTTATGGACTTTCTACTTTCATAACTTTATTAAATAAAGCCTTTTGCAGTTTGATGTTTGCTGTCTGGAGCAGCTGTCGATTCACATGGAACAAATGYTGACCAGGCTGATGGCTGCTCTCCTGCATAGAGAGCACAGCCTCATGTTCCAGCATGGAAAACTTCCCTCCCACCTTCCCTTTGGCATGTTCTCATCCCAAGRCAGCACTAGGAATGCTGATTTTCATGCTTGTGTCACCCTTACAAAGTTGTTTGTCATTTCTGAAGAAATTTTTCAATCTGAACTTTAAGTAATGCCTTTCACAGAACACTCCAGTGACTCCCAAGTCTCCCAGTGATCTACAAAGCCARTATTACCATTTCCATGTGTTTTGGCAGCAGCTGAAAGAGATTTTCCAGTTTGCATTAAGTGAGTCCCATTCATCTGACTTGTCAAAYGCTGTCAGACTCTTTATAAATCATTATTTTGGGAGCAGTAATGACCACAGAGCAGTGTGTGCACTGCACTCCCAGCCACGTGCCTTGCAGTCAACTCCTACCTGTGAGCTGTGCACTGCCCCACTTGCACTCCGTGCCAGCTCCTGCAGTCCTGGCTCAYGTCTGTGTCTACTCCCTGCCTGCCAGGGAGTGTTCAGAACTCAGAGTAGGTGTCAAATCACAGCTCCACATGGAAATAGGACATAAATACCCTCTGCCAAAGCAGGGCACAATCYGGATATTCCTTCAGGTAATAATAACTGTAGTTACCTTTCTTGGAAAATAATTGAGATCTACAGCTGAAACTATTATTAAAATTGCCAGGTAAGTCAATTTGTCATGTTGATGATTCTATAATAGTTTAGTCACTCTTTTCCAATTTTTAAGTCATTCATTTACCCACAGTACAATAAGTTCCCTTTTTTTTATTTTCAGATCCCTCCTTCAAAGTCAAAATCCATTTAACTGTCATCTACTGCCTCATATCTTGTCTTTATTTCATGTTATTTAAATGTCAAATGTGAAATACAGTTCAAAATAGAAGTGCACTTCTTCCCTGACTTTTACTAGTGAATTTTCCCCTCTGTAAATAAGGAACACTTACTTTAAAGACAAGTTTTTCCAACTGTCTATATATCTATATTTCAACTACTTATATATATTAAAAAATATGTAATGCCTCTATGAAACCAAAAAATGTATTATTTCTTTTAATCCRTGCTAAGCTGTAACAGTACTACAGGAGTTAATTATTTAGAACAGCAGGCTGTAAAAGGAATAATCCTGTAGGACATGTGGAGTGCATTATTTCTTTAGTGATCTCTGCTTCCATGGAAACAATTTCTCAGCACAATTCTAAACCTCGTAAAAGTAGGGCAGTAGGTCTATGTAAAATAGCAATTAAACAACCCGAATACTTTTATCTAGGCCATTAAATACTTTGTCCAGCATCACATATGATTACAGTGTTCACTGGGATGTTAAACCACCAGCTGCTTCCCATGGGGGTGGGTGAAGTCCCTCATCCCTCACTTCCTTAGGGGGTGCACAGCACCAGCACAGCACCTCTCCCTCCCCATGCAGACACTTGGGGTGCACAGCTGTGCCACACCCACTTTTGGGGTGCACTGTCCTCCTCCACACACTCTGTCCTCATGGCTCAGCCCTGCCCAGCAGTGAACTCTCTCCARCACAGCAGGAAGGGGTCTGGTTAATAGAGCTGGAACCAACATGTTTGGATCAGATTYGGGCAATGAATATGGCTGAGTGAAAGGCATCTGTTGGGCATCCTCATGGTTTACCCACACTTCTCAGGACTGAGGGCTCTGTGGCACACCCTGGGTGACCATCGTGGCATCCGKGCCCCAGGTAGCACTGGCTCATCTTCTGAAGGAGACTAAAACACAGAGGGTGTAAGAACAAATCAAGGAAACAACTGAGGYACACGGCTAGTGCCTTAAAAWGTGCCCCCTATCCAGAAATTTAGAGACTCATAGAACAGTTTTGCTCCGAGTTCCAAACCTTTCCTCYATCAGCTGTAACAAAGCGCCCTCTGCTGGAACTGAGCTTTATTCTCTCACTTGGCCATTGCCACCGACACGGAATAAAGAAATTCTAGACCCAGTACTCAGAGACAAGAAGCTGTAACAAATACAAATACAAATACACACCTTTCAGAGTATTGCATATAAATCTTTATTAGTAGACTCTTGTCTATCATCAGTCAGGAATAGCAGAGAAGCAAGCAGAGGAATAAAGTACTGAATATCAATGGCACCAGCGCTTTTTGCTTGGTTATGTATTTTATTTTTTTTCAACTGAATTGTTTTTGGAAAGTTATTAAAATTTTGGAAATTATTAAAAAAAACCAAAAATAGGGGTTGCACACAAGATTTGCATTCCTGTGAAGCAGCCCTGCTAGTAACTGGGAGAGCAAAACATGATCCAGCCAACAAATGCCCACAGGGATATTTGCCAGAAGTGACATCTTGGGGGGGTTGTTTGGGGTTATTCTGTAGCTTTTGTTAATTTATTTTTTGCCTTTTCTAAACTGTTGAATTCTGGTTTTAGCTGTACCATTTTACTCACTACTCAACGATTTCTTATCTCCTGAGCAACAACTTGGCAAGGTGTAACACTGGTCCTATGGAAAGGAATAACAGATTATTTCACACAGGTCCACTCAAAAAAGCCTGGATGAGGAAAAGAAAGCTTTATAATAAAAAACTTTCATGCCTAATATGTGTTTGGTAGCAGAACTGGTATATTAGTTAAACAGATTTTTATCTCCTGGGAAGCATGCAACTTCCAAACTCCTATCATGAACCACTCAGTGAAACTAAATGATGAAAAGTAGGTTAGTTTATTTTCTKACCCTGGCTCCTGTCAGCAGAGTCATTACTCAGCATCACAGCTGTGCTCTTTCCAAGTCCTATAGAATTCTGTGTGCAAGACTGGATCCTGATGGTACAAGCATTGTATTTTCTCCCACACCACCCTGCTAACAAACTCTTGGAAATCTGGAGCCTTTATGCACATGTCAAAGGCTCAATCCTGCTCCCTGGCCTCAGAAACAAATCACTTCAAATTCTGGGTTACTCAAAACTTTCCTTATGTAACAATACTATAAATACAATAACACAACTGTGTTACTTTAACTCAGGGAAATCATCAAAGAAAAACAGCCAGGACATTGTTACCACTACCTGACTAATCCTGGCCTGCAATAGGATGTGGACAATGAACAGTATCTACTTCATGGTGTTCTTACACAAGAAGTTCAAAATCCTCCCAACCAGCTCTAGTTCCAGCGGTCAGGACAGGACACTGGGGGTTTCTCTGGAGTGACCTGGGCAAAACTGCAGCTGAACACTGCAGAGCACCCCATGAGAGGCAGGAGTGCTTCCCCACCTCATGTGTAGGTTAACTGGGAATACTGGAATCCATGCAATACTGGTAGGCAGGAAGCCCCAAAGATGACAATTTAGAGTAAATGCAGACTGAGTCAAYATGCCAGAGGTGGCTACACCAAGTGGAAAATTACACACAGCAGTGGGACCTAAAGCTGTGCACCAGCACATCTGATCATGGAGCACAGAACACCCACCAGTACTTCTGAGTGCACAGCTCCTGAATGTGGGAAAACCACTGAGTTTCAAGGGCTCACTTTTTTGTCCAATCAGGTTCTGCACCTTCCCCTTARTGACAGAGAGATTCATGAAGCCTGGTAAAAACATAACATTAACTCTCTGGGAAGGAGCTCCCTCCTTGGGATGCAATTCTATGGTTTTAAAGCTTTTCAAACTCTTTATACAAATAAAAAGCTGAAACATATAAAATCTTGAAATTCCATTTATGTTATGTAGAACTATATATATACACACACACATTTTCTTAAAACAAAAATTGTGTCCTTTGTCTCCCCTCTAGCTATAAACTCAAAGTCTTGCTTGAGACTTTCAAATAWACTTTAGACCTCTCTGAGAAACTCGAACCAAAGATAAACCTGTGTACATAGTATTATGTGTAGATAAGTCAATTTTCCTTAGTATTTAGAAAGCAAAGCACATTTTTTCTAAGAAGATTCACAGTGATACAGCTCATGAAACATTTCCAAGTTGCAATCAGGAAACTTCTCAATCAAGACCAATTTGTGACTGCTTTATCTAAATATATACCTGTATGAAATCATAACTGAGGAACTGATTGTTCTCTCATTGAACTGTACATTATAGAGAAGACTCTGAATATAAAAGTGGGAATTTCTTTTCTTTAAAAGCACAAATACTTTTCTGCTCCTTACACTCAGTTTGCCATCCATCAAGAGCTCTTGTTTCCACAGGAAACATTAAAAATTAGAAGTGGACAAACCACAATGATCTAGAGAACAACATAAAACCTCCCTGTAGAATGGAAGGTCACAAAGATGCAACCTGTAGTAAGACAGGAGTTATTATTTCCACTGGAAACAAGCACAGCCACTACTGAGAAGTCATGAAAACTTGTCAGCTTTTTCTCCCCAATATAGAAGCAGGATGGCAAAGAACGTGCCAAAAAGCTACTTGACCATCAGAATCAATGGGTAAAAGTTATTAATAAAACAGGAGTGAAAAAAGAAACTGGGTGATGTATTTTGCTACAACTGAATAAAACAGGAAAGCTTGAGCTACAAAACTCTCATTTCAGTTAAGTTTCCTTTTCATGAACTCATTCAAACTTACACTCTCTAAACCAAAGGAACAAATCAATTCCGAGTTAGAGGTTCACCTGTACATAAAACCATTAGAGAAAATTCCCAAATTGAAAGACTGATGCACAGCATTCTTGACAGGGTGTCCTCCTCCCCAAACATCAGACTGGGCAATCATTAACTCCACAGCATTCCTCAGGCACACTGGTCACACRCATTAGGAATTTTCAAAGTATCTTTAAACCACAACAACAGGAKGACACTGGATTCTGTAACAGTCACTATTAAAAGGGATAACAATTCTGAAAGAGTTGACATAATGGAGGGAAACTAAAAAATAAAATCAAAATTCCAAAACCATCACACCGGCAATTCATGTGAATGTTCGTTCTCACTTCCTTCAGCATTATCCCTTTTCTCACTCTTGTATGTGGAAAGGAATAAGTTTTCTATCTGAGTCAAGAATTCTTCARCAATGAGGCAGTTTGTAACCTTGCCCAAAGTCTTCCTCATGCACTCCAAAAGCTAGGCAAGAGAAAAAGAAATTTGTTTTAAATTGTCATTTCTACCCTCTTTTATCTGACTGYAAAGTGATTTTTCTTTATTTATTTAGGATTAACACTACAAAAAGTGTTTGTACATTATAAATTTAAAAGGAACAGGGTGATCTAAACCCAAGTCTTTCAAACCAATTACCCAACAGCTAAATTTCAGAGCATTCTACCAACTCAATTTTACATTTACACTTTAKAAGCAAAGTCATGTTGAGAGGAAACAAAAAAAATCAATGTGGGCAATTACTGTGTGCAAGTTTTCTGTTGATGTCTTTTGCTTTGGGCAGAGTTTCTGTCTTGTTTGTGCAATAATGATACAGCTGCTGTTAGTCAGAGCTCCAGAGCAGTGACTACACTGTCTGGAAAAYTAAARTTCTTATTTATCCATGATAAACATKGCACAGCACCATTTTATTGGTGGAACAAAGGACCAAGAAGGCCAAATCTCCTCTGGAGATGTGTGTAGATTCACAAAATGCTGAGGAGAGGCCTGAGTAATTAGCCATTAATTCTTCTCCAAACTGAGGAGAGGAATTTATATCTCTGACTTCTGCTGACATGAAGCAGATCTGCATTGAAAAAGACAYCTAACATGAAAAAGTTAAGAGAAGAAAACTTACTTTCTGCAAACAAGTCAGGTCAGAATCTCGATGGAAAATTTTATCCATGGGGACACTGCTGTTGGAAGAAAAACAAATAGGAGTGCTGGAGAAAGCAGCCACAGTGTTGACAGAAACATAACAATAAACATATAAAAATGACAACCTGGCTGTTCATAACAGAAGTAGACACATACCTGTGGCAAAATCTGTATTTTTCAATTATCCACCTTGTTTTTTCAAATATTAATTCCCACTGAGGCTCCTCCAACATCTGCTGCACTTCAAATTTGTAGGGCAGGCCTGCAATCAATTGAACATGATTATTCAGTGTTTCTGCTACACTCCACTGTTTTTTTCCTGTTTAGTTTAGGTGCAATCCCTTCCTTCCCCATTACTGTTCCTCATTTATGACTRACTGCAGAAGCCTGTAGTTCTTAGTTAACAACATTAAGGAGGTTAAAGTAAAAGGATGACGTGTTTTGGATTCCAAATTTAATTCTGGTGGGAGTAGGAACAAATCTGTTCTCCCTGCCCTTGCCAATTCCCATTCCATAAGGAAGGACACAGAAATCTACAACAAACCCAGAAATGGAAAAATTGAATCAATTGTTATAACTTAGTAGCAATTTTGTAGTCTCTCTAAGATTTATGTGGTTATTAAGAGAATAAAAAAGGTTTGGGTTTTATGTGTGAATGGGTTGATGATGAAGTGCTGACTATTGTATTCCATTTCAAAGGAATTCTCCTCAGAAATGAAGAAATTTTTCTAGTGTACTGCAGGTAGGGGAAGAGAATTTTGGAAAATATTTTAAAGGACTATCAGAAAATCATTTGCAGAACACAATTCATCTACCAAAAATCAGGGACAAGGAAAATAATTTACTGCAAATTTMAGTAAATAATTTCCAAAGAGCCAGAGGAGATGGCTTTTTGTAAAACCTTGATGTCAGGAGATAAACAGAGATCTGAAATACTCTCAGAAAATGCATGTGACTACAAAAATGTCTGCTTCTCAGAGCAATAGAGTTTGTCAGTATTTTAGCTCTCCCCCACAAGGGTGGGATGTGTGGGAAATGAGGATAAAAGTACAGGRCTGTGAGTTTGATAAACAGGAACTGGTGCACAGATGTGGCCACTGCTCCACTTCCCCCAGGCCTGTGCAGTGAATCTCCAGGCAGATGGTCTCCCTTGCCTACTTGCACAGGAAAAAACAGAGGGAACTGTGGGCTTACATGCCCTCAGMTATTGCTGTGCCAAGAGAACAGGAAACCTTGGGAGTGTGGATGCAAAAATCAGGATTTTATAAATAGAGAGAGGAGGAGAGAGAACAGGCAGYTACCAGAACCATCTACTGTTATATGGGGGATTTTCCTGAAATGCGTATCAGGAAAAGAGCAGATATGATCATCACTTGCAATACAGAAAATTTTGTGTGGGACATCCTTAACTGYTCAAGAAAGGAAAAGATCCTGTTTTCATGAAATGTCAGTGATATTTTTAATCAAGAATTTGTTCCCTTAGTTAGGGGTTCATGCCAATGCCATTTCAGCTTTCGGGCCTTGTGTTCCCCTGGACAGCTGGCAMATTTATTTGATCCTCTGAACTTCTGATTGCCACGTTACTCAAAAATTAAGRATTTTTGGTCAGTATAGCAGCCAATTCTTTGCTATTTACTTCTGTCTTCTCCAGTAGAGAATCTGTTCAGAATGCTGTGATGCAGCAAAGGCCAAGTAAGACATTGTGAAACAGTTTCTAAGCTGTTCATATAGACTCTGTGTGTAAATAAAAGGGACCTGTGGCCCAAACCTTTCACTTCTTTCATGAATTGTGGGAACTACTAATACAGAAGATCAATCTTGTATGTATTTATACTTGTGTATTCCTGTCCTGACAACTTGCAGGTTTCATTCTCTCAGTCAAATTCCTGGGTTTGTCCAGCACATGTTACCAATATAAATTATAACRTTTATACAATACCATCGTATTACCAATATGAATACACATAAATACTGATTTCTCAGATTCAGACCCAGACATTTTCCCCTTAACACCTAAAAGGGAAAGGAAAAGGAAGACACTGGATAAAAGAAGGACACTTACGATAGGAACCATCAGAACTGATCTCATCACTAATGACCAGACAGGTGATCTGGGAATATGGGAGAGGATTATTCCTGTTGTAAGGGCTTATGATCATTCCRATGAACATGGCACCACCCCTGGAGAAATAGCTCTAAAAAAACAAAAACACACAAAAAACCCCACATACAAAACTCCAATCTTGTTCAGAACAGCAGTGCTGAAATCTAAAAAAGAACATTTATATCAATTTATGCCTGAGCTGTTTTAAGATGGATTAGTGCAACAGCGAATTGACCTTGTAAATGCCAYAGAAGCTTTAGGGCTGTTGGGGTTTTGGCTCTTTCCATGTTTTTATGTTTTTGCAGTACCTGGTATTTAGCCTGAGTGTCGATGTCCCKGATGGAGGGGTTGGGGTCGAAGGCAGGGTGTGAATGGTACCAGCCAATGACCTGGAAGCCCCTGGCTGCCAGCGATTCCGAGGCCTGCGTTTGGGACACCGGGTCCATCTCGCACTGCAGACCTGTGCTCAGGCTGTTACATGGCTCTGCTGCACACACCTGTGGAGACAACCTCCAGCTGCATCCATGAAAAACCTCCAGCACTTACATTAAACTTATAGTTTTAAGAGTCATTTACCACATCTTCGTCGTGACAGAGTTGACAGCCCAACTCTTCAACTTAACTCTTGTATTTCAAGACTACAGTGATGAACTTTAGTATATTTAATCAATAGCCACTYAGAAATAACAGTTACATCTATTCAAATTATAGCTATGATCATTTCAGTTTTAATATTATAGAGAAAATGTGAAAAGACGAACACTTACTTCCACAATTTTGTCAGCTTCAGAGTATCTTCCACCAAGCAGTCCTATCACTTCTGCCAGAGACACGTGAGAGTGCTGGAATGAGATGGAACAAGCAGGAAAGTCCAAGTTGTGGGATTTCTCACAAGTCAGGGACTTCTCAAGGACATGTAGAAGGAAAACTCWAGACAACTCAAGACTCTCAAATACCCAATACTTCCATTTCAAGCAAACAGAAGAGATKAAATTTGCTAATTATAAACACACCACAAATTTAGTGCGAGGGTATAACACTTCCATACACAAGGCAGTGTTGGCTTCAATAACTGCAGTCAGGGCGTACTGAACAAATGCACACAATTTTGGTACAGCCTGTTGTTCTGGAAATAACCCACAAATTGCTTTGCAAACACAAAATCAGTTCCCAGACTGGGAGAAAATGAAGCCATAGGTTTCAGAAGTCAGTTTCAGAAAGTAGCTTTAAGCAAATTAAGTTTAAAGTATGATGGAGAGTAGTAAGTAGTAAAGCTCTTAGTGAAGCAGCAAAGCTCTTATTAATTTTTCTAGTAGGTCAATAGTWGTACAGCAAGCACAATATAAACTCCATTAATTTTAGGGGCTTTATTTAATACTAGATTCTGACTGGAAAGAATCACAGAATGGTTTGGGTTGGAAGGGACCTYAATAATTATCTCATTATCCCTGSTGTCATSGGCAGGGACACCTTCCATTAGATCAGGCTGTTCTGAGCTGCACCCAACCTGGCCTTGAACATTCCAGGGATGGGGCAGCCATAGTTTCACTGGGCAAACTGTTCCATTTTCTTCATCTTCTTATGTTGCACATAAAAAAAAAACAAAAAAAAACCCAAGCCCACAGCATACAAATCACAGCTTCTTGAAAAACAAAACTTAATGCTCACCAAATCCATTATTAAAAGTGCTTCAGAAGACACTTTCACCTGAAAGGGTTCCTGAAATGATAAACACAAGAATGAGTATATGAGAATTACCTAAGCAATGAAGCTTTCTTGGTAATTCACTCARAGGTACATACCTGCTTTTCTGTCGTGAACACACAGCATGGTATCAGCTGAAAGGGATCAAAGGAACTATAAAATGAAAGAAAATTTCTCTAAAGATGTAGGACAGTCAGGAAACTTTTCAAGTTTCCCACTGTCTCCTTGGCAGAGGAGGAATAACCTTGTTTTCTTCATTTGATTTTCTCATCCCACATTAGGATGACTTCCACCAAATACAGAAATGTCACTTCCCACACTCCTGAATTCCAACACGGAACATCTGAAAGGCATGCCTGCTATTTCAGACCATGATACATATTAATGCTTTGCAGGGTTCCAGCCTGACACTACACAGGACATTTGCTCAATTCCTAGCAGATCTATGTTTGAACACGATGTACATCAAATACCTTTTGATTTGTCTTGAACCTTTAGAAGATTTTGCAGGTTTCARTTTTTCTTCCTCTCTCCTTCTTGCTAATTCTTCAGCTGAGAGATGCTGAAAAGATATTTAAAAAAAATGGATGTTTTAATGTCTGAAGTGCTTTTTCAGCCCTGATTGCAAAACCAGCCCAGAATAAGTTACTGGTATCCCTATCCTCTTGATGTAATTTGTGTGTTAGAGGACTACCCAAAATAGAGCCATGGCAGAACCAAGCAGCATGGAAGGAGTGACAATCTAACATCAAATCCTCATCTGATGATAGAGTTCTCTCACTCTCCAAGTCAATCAAACACAGTAAAATCATAGCCCACATCACAAACCAGGTATAAATMCAGGTGTGACAATCTAACAGTACAAACAATGGCCAGAATTTATCATGATCCCTCTTCAGGGATTAATGTTTTCAACCTTTATTTCCAGCCAAATATGTATTTTGCAGGAAGTATTGGAATTATTAAACCACAGTTACTCAAAAACAGGTATGGCATTAACAATTACTTCCGTGATGTTCTAAAGGTAATTACTGAAGGCTGCAAAATTAAGAAGGTTTTCTATACAGAAAAATTGAGTGTTTACAGTTCTTTACTTTTCATGTAATTTGATATTGCAGGAACACACAAGTATCTTCTTTCCAACTCTTCCATAAAATATTTAACCTTGTATGAATTTTTTAAGCATTTAATAAACCACAGTATTTCTGGGGATATTGCTAGTAGCAGAATTAATATTAGGAACTCATTATCACCTGCATAATGAGCACAAGGAAACCATACAGGACTGAAAGAATATCATTTGAATGTTGTTCTCCCATCCCCTACTGTTACCCTTAAGGCAGTTAACTGAAAGCAACAGGTCATGAAATCTCCTATGGGCATAAAACCCCAAATGCAGTTGCTTTTATCAGCATGAAGGTGTACAGCTGCTGCATTACTTTCACATTACTGCTTCCACAAGAGAGGTTAAGTCCCAGTGACACAACTGCTCCCTTGCCTGTTTGATGCACCACCTGCCAGCAATTAGCAAGAACTGATGATTTAAGAAAAGTTTAAAACACAGGAGGGTTACCTCAAATGTCTGTCCTTCCAAATCCTTTGCATCACACCAGTTTCCCCAAGGGTCTCGCACTCGCCGTCTTCTCGTGCGCTGTGGCAAGAAAACACCACGAGTCAAAGCTCTTATCCTGAAAAAATTACATTTAACTTCATCTAGGCAACCTTAAGGACACTGTCCAAAAGGTTACTGCCCCAGGAATGGTACTGACACTGTGACATGTTCCCAGATAATGAAGAACAGTCTGGAGTTCTGCAGAATTAGTAGTTCACAATGTGTCACAAATTATCATCAGTGAAGTTTTGGGTTTTTAAGGCTGTGAAGCCTTTTGGTGGTCCATGGAATGTCAACATCCCTGACAGCAACAGGGCATCAATATCCAGCTCTGAATTCTTGCTCAGACAACACACAAAGCTATAAACTCCRTGTGTCTACATTTAGTGTATGCTACAGTTCTTTACATTTCAATTTATTATTTTTTTAAGTGGGATTGATTTAGTTTTCCTCCATCAACTGATTTACTTTGCTGTGAAGTAGTTAAAAATGCTACATTAATTGTGAATATAAAAATTAACTCTAGCAAGCCTTGGTAATTCATGCAGTTATAAATGAGTTTCTGCAGTATTTAACTGTGTGCATAAGGCTCTCAGTAAGCCATAACATATACCTACTGTATTTAACAGTTAAAATGCAAGCAACTTAATCACACATTTCACTATTTTCTGGCTAATTCAGGCTAATAAATTATGGAGAGGTGGTGAGGAGGGGATTTGGACTGCAGGGGAAAGCCTGCGAGACAACTGTAGCGAAGAACCTGAACATGTGAGCCAAGTGTGAGACACCTGTACCTAGACTGACACCCGAATCACAGGGCACTCTAAGGAAACTGCTGCCTGAACCAGACAAGTTCCCTGAGGTGCCCTGGGAAGGTTTTCCCCGTTGGTGCTGCCCCCAGGCTGTACCATGGACTGCAGGCGCTGGGCCAGCTGATAGGCTTCCACCGTGTCCTTGCCCTCCCTGCAGCGGCTCCTGTCGGCGGGCTGGGGGCGGTTGTACACAGCCTGTTCTGCACGACACACAGGGGACAATTCCTGTGTCAGCAGAGCTCAGAGCCACTCAGCACTGCCATGCACACAGGAGTGACATGAATAACAGCAAATGGTACAGGAAAAACAGCAACCAAAACCCTCACAGTGAAAAGACATCTCTTGATAGTCATAAATCTGAGTGATGACACAGCACTCTCCCACTACACTTTTAAAACAACAAAGCCTCTTTCCTTATGGTTAATTAWTTTTTAATAACTTTAGACAAAATGTATTTTAGAACATTGCTCCTCTCTTAGCTAACTGTCATTTGGCTTTGGAGCAAAACTGATCCAGAACCAACATGAAGTTACAGTTGCACATATATTTTTAACAGGTCACCTAATTTTAACAATTGAATTATATAAAAACTAGCCCTGAGGATGAAGGCACTGGGTTTATTTAGAAAATAGTTATAATTTAGTGTGGGAAAAGAAACGATTACTTAAATTCYGCCTAGTAATAAGGAGGACAATTTCAGACACAGCTGGTATCAGGGCACACACAAAAGGACAAAAAAAACCCCATGTCACCAACTGGGGAATGGCTAAACATGAGGGAAGGGGGAAAAAAAAACATAAAAGGTTTTGTGTAAGCCCAAAAATTCATAATCCTGTGAACAGGTTACAAGCTCCTCTAGATTTTCCAAGGTTACGAGGGACAATCTGATCAGAGGGTCCTTCCTAGCAAGGATGAACGTGCACCCTCTGTGTGAGCAGTACACCCTAGCATTGGGCAATCCTTTAATACTATACCAAAAGAGAATATTTATTGATGCAAACAGAAATTTCTTTACCACAGCCAAAGTTTATTGCTCCTATCAACTCCAGGTACGTGTGGATCCGCCCAATGCAGTTGACATCCCCGCAGTTCTTCARGCCAGGACGCACTGAGGTCTTGTTCAGGTATTTGGGTTTACATCTCTCCCTAGAACAAAGCACAGCAGGCTTGTCAAAGAGCAGAACAAATCACGGTGGGGAAGATGAAGGAATTGTGTGACTTTAAGTGAGATCCTATTTTCACTCTATTCACTCATTCCTTCCTTTTAAACTGATACTGAATCTTTGTAGTTCACACTTCTCTGATGTGGAATGGAATTTTATTCTTTCTTTGCACCTGGAGCAAGATGTCAGTGCACAAGACAACTGAGAGAGGACAGAGTTAAACTCAGTAATTCTTTCTACTTCAAAGCAAGCACAACAAGCACACAAACCAAAACTGGCAACCAAAGTACCTTGAGCTGGCTACCACAAGTGACTACAGCTCCTTACATCAATTCTTTGGAGATGGAATATAAAATATTTAAGAGTAGAATCACAAATTGATTCTTAATTKGAGGCATTCTTTTAGTCAACATTATTTGTTCCAGCACAGAGTATTACTTCTTGCTGCCCTTCTGTAAAGGCAGGGCTACAATGCAGAATTAACGTCATCAGTTATTTTCAGCAACCATTTATTAAAACCATTCTTACATATAGGATGGCAAAAATGGGAAGAACAGAGCATAGCCAAAATAAATGTAGCCTGTTCTGATACAGGACATTCATTTTCTTAATGCTTCAAAGTATTTTCATTATTCAGCTTTCAGAATGCCAGAGAAAAAAATGGGAAGATGCAAAAGAAGCACTAATAATGAATGCTGCTCACTGGCAAGCTACCATACAATTAATCTTACTCTTTTCAGAAGTAAGCTATTAGTATTAAGTAGTGTTTTAGCTACAGCGAACCAGGACATCTTAATCACTYATTTCAGTAAAAGAAATGAATGCATCTCACCACTGATCCAAAATATAATTCCTGATTTTCAAATAACGCTCTGGTGTTTTGGCCTGGCGCCCTTCAAAGAATTCGGGAATAGCCTGCTTTTCTTCTTCCAGGATGATGCTTCTGTCAACCTCCACTTCTTGATCAGGTGGCTTCAGCTCCTCTGCTTCTTCTTGATGATCTTCATCCACTTGGCAGGGAGAAGGAAAAAGCAATCCATTATCAGCTGGGTCTCTTTGCTCCTCACTGAGCTCCTGATCAGCCCCTTGTCCAGTACCATGACATGTGACTGGTCCRCTTTGTTCAACTTTCTCAATAAAATTATTGCACTGCTGGTAATCTAAATTCACACATTTATCCCCATTCAGGTGCTGGGAACAGGTGGCTGCCACAGCAGGAAATACCAATGCATCCACTGTCTCTGGCCTGGTATGCTGAGGATCTTCTTTAGGCAAAACAGTTGTAGAACTGTGTCCAGCAGATGAAAAACCCTGTTCCACTGCTTTTGTTTCTTCAACTGGACTTTTTGGAATAACAGATAATTCAGATTTTCCAGTCTCTTGCTGGAAGGCAGGAGTGAGTAGTTCATCCATGTCATCAGTTATGTCTACTTCCTCATCATCTGACAGCTTTTCAATTTTCACCGCATTCAGGTTGGGGTCTGCCCGGCCTCTCAAGTTTCCAGCTTCCACCCTCATCCCATCTTCCATGGGAAGGTTGCTCCCACACTGGCTTTGCTCTTCTTTTTCAGAATCACCATTTTTTGCCTTAGAAAATATAAAACACTTTCAGGAGGGAAAAACAAATCAAAACCATCTGCCTCCCAAATAATSAGAACTATTTTTACAGCAGATATTCTGAAGTGTTTCTTCTTCAACTTATCCTTTTAATTTAGTTAAATTCATTGCAAAGGAATTTTAGACAGTATTACAGGTACACTTTAGCCCAAGTGTAAATTTACATGTATTTCCGGTCAAAAACCCCCAGAAAGCAGTTATTTCACCTTAAAGCCCATGAAACCTCAAATGAGGCTGAAGCTAAAACAACATAGCAGAAACAGGGTAATAGAAAGCCAGTATTTTCAGAATAACAACCAACAGTGTTAGAGACAACAACTGTACTACATTTATTTTTCTATTTTCATACCAGCAATAAAAATATTGGTCATGCTAGGAATTGGAAATCAGGTTGGACTTCACATTTAAATCTGCAAATAATGATATTCCACTTTTCTGAATATTGGAATGAATGAAGTACATGCTTTGAYAGCAATGCCCTGGAAAGACTGATTAAAACCAAGCTACCCATTGGCAAACACCTTTTTGCCAACTCCAGAGATGCTCCATTTACCTTGTTCTTAAAGTACTGCCGAGCGTAGCTCTTGACTTGCAGAACCGTTCGAGTGCCGATCAACTTGGCAATTTTTGTCCACCTGCGGCCAAATTTCACCTGAAAGAACACAGCACACAGAAGTCACCCAAACTCTGACATTTCAGACATGGCAGTGCATGTGTCAAATGAGTTCAGGACCTTGATTATTCATTAAAATGCACAAACAGTACAGCAAACCCATGGTAAAGAAGCTCACTATTCCCATTTTTCCAAGAAGGAAAGTGCATCCAATAGTAAGAATTATTGTTATTCTTAACTAGAGGATGTTCCTCACCCATTTCAGGCCCCCTGCTGCTTGCTCTCCCAAGGAATCCTTGTGCTTGGCAAAGCAAATCCTTTTACAATTGGCACAACCATACAATCTCTGCAGACGTTACAAGAGTAAAGAATTTCACTTTATTATCTGATTTGCCTAAAGAACACATTATCCTTCCCATAGTTAATACACTGTGATTGTACAACATGCTTATTCATTTAACTACTTTGCTATTCAAGATAAATTCATTAATTCAATTTAAAACATTATATATATATACAAACTCACCAGTCCTTGTTCAAACAGCTCTTTTTCCTCTGCTGTCCACTTCAAGGAGCAGCCAGGAGATTTTGTAGGCGATCGCACCCTGGGCATGCGGGAAGCAGAAATCAATGCTTTCCCAAAACCAGACATTCTCCAATCCCAGTCACTCAAGGCACATTCTGACAGAAGGATTACTCCCCACCTTTGGTAAAACTCAAASTATTGCTCTAAACATGAATGTGACTCATAAAATAAAATACTGAGAATCACATCAGCTTCTCCATCACAACAGAAGATTAAAGGCAACTCAATATTCATTAGTGACTAATGGCACAGAAATACATAAAAGTAGGCAACAGGAAAAGTTCAGGCAAAAAAGTCAACCAGAATTAACAGTTTTTTATCAAAAGGACCACTATGCTACAAAAAAAAACCAAAAAAACAAAACCAGTTTATTCTAGCCTGCTGTTACACACAACGTTTCTTCCTGTTGAAAGGTCCCTTAAATAATTTTATACAGCCAGACAAAAGAAAGAAACTTTTTTTAAAATAGTAWCTGGTAACTTAACAAAATCAGACACCCACACTTAAAAATGCAATTCAATTGTTAAAATATACGTACATTACTTTTCCAGTTTTCTTATGTGGGCTGCAAATAAAAGACAGAGTRAAAATAAAAATTAGTAACTGTGATGTTGGTGCATATCTCAGAAAATAACCTTATTTTAGATGGACTGAAAAATTTTCCCAGATGCATCTTACCTTTTCATAGATCTTTTCTCCACTTCCTTTTGGTTGAGCCATATCTTTTCAGAAAGTGATTTATTAGATAAATAATATCTGAAATAGTCATTAAGTAAGTTTTCAAAGCATCAGGGATATTTGTACATGTGAGAATTTAAATAATATAAATTACACTGGTTTAGAATTACCCAGCTGTAGAAACAAGTACTGCAGTTTCTACAGCAGCATTTCTGCAATCTACCTAACAGGTGACAGGCCTTCAGCCACCTTAACAGGGAAAGATTTGTCCAGGTCTTCTGGAAACAGGAATTTTTTTAGTGTTCTATAGGAAAACATAAAACCAACTCAACAAAAGGATACTCTTCTTCCAGCAGCATCTTCTCAATGACAGCCCTGTTTTCTTCACTGATGCTGCTGTCCAACGTCCAGGGCTGCAAATAACAAAAATACATTTTAATATCTTAATTCTGTCACACTGTTAAGTGACTATATATGTAAATATGTAATCATTTCAATAAGTAAGGAAAAAGCACTGGTTAAAAACCTAACCAGTGCATGGAGGGGAGGGAGAATACAAAAGCTTGGACAACCTTGCTAGAAGCAGCATTGATTTAAAATATACTTACAAGATTATTGCCTGTTCTCCAAGATGAATCAAGATAGTGATCCTGCAGCAGGCTTGATGCTGTGTTTTCATGATCTCTGAAAGTGATTCGAGTGTTCAGAACAATTGTATTTTAAATATTGCGTATCATTGAGTTGCATTATCTCCACTTAACATTTCTACATCTTTCCCCCAATAAGGGAAAAACATCTACTTGTAAAGACAAACTGCTTTTTCTGCTGAGGACAGCTCCTACTTACACGGGGTTTAACAGAATACTGTCATACAGGGATGTCAGAATCAYAGAATAAAATCCTGGAATGGTTTGGTTTGAAGAGCATCTCATTCCAACCCTCTGCCATGGGCAGAGACACCTCCCACTAGTCCAGGTTGCTCCAAGCCCTGTCCAACCTGGCCAGGACCTCACCACCCTCACAGGAAAGAGTTTCTTCCCAATATTTAATCTAGTGTTCCTACAAACATCATCCAATTTAAGCTTAATCTTTTCTGTAAATAACTACTACTTAGACACCTGTCCCTGATTAACATAATTGATCAACTTCCTTTTATTTTCATGCAGCATAAAATCTCCTTACTAATTCATGTAATTACTTGTTTTCAAAAATCTTTGCTTCCAGAACATTCACACTTGTCTAAAGACAACTTAGTCCCACATTCCCTGCAGTGCTACTAAATTAAACTCACCTACTGCTCCGAACTGCTTTGTGCAGCACTTCAAACAYCTCTTTATAGGACAAAGGATCAGAATGAGTCTCCATGCCCAGAAATCAATACAACTCCTGCTTCTTTTGGAGCATACCCAGGAGAGGGCAGGATCAACAGCCCCCTTTGCCAGCAGCCTGTCTGCAGCAGTGGCAAAGGCTACTTGAGGACAGAGTTCCTGGTACAAACCTCTTGTTCTCTCCCAGAACCTGCAAGTGCTCCATTTGAGGTGTTAGAGCTGCTGTCCATTCACCTCAGCATCCCTTATCCATGAATTTGCTGAAGCCCAGAAAGCCAATGGAATGCAWCAAAAGCAGCATGGGCAGCAGGGCACGGGAGGTGATTCTGCCCCTCTACTCTGCCTTGGTGAGACCTCACCTGGAAAGCTGCATCCAGCTCTGGGGTACCCAGTAYAAGAAGGACATGGAAGTGTTGGAGCAAGCCCAGGGGAAACCACAATGTTGATAAGGGTGGAGCAAATCCCCTATGAAAACAGTGTGGGAGAGTTGAGGCTGTTCAGCCTGGAGAAGAGAAGGTTGTGTGGAGCCCTGATAGCAAACTTCCAGTATCTGAAGGGGCTACAGGGAAGCTGGAGAGAGATTCTTTGCCAGGAACTGTAGTGCCAGGACAAGGATTAACGGGTTCAAATTCAAAGAGGGAAAATTAGGTTAGATATTAGAGAGAAATTCTTTACTTGAGGATGCTGAGGCCCTGGCACAGGTTGYCCAGGGAGACTGTGGATGCCCCAACCCTGGCAGTGCTCAAGGGCAGATCGAATAAAGCCTTGAGCAACCAGGTTTAGTGGGAGATATCGCTGTTCATGACAGGGGAGTTGCAATTAGATCTTTAAGGCCTTTTCCAAACCCTTAACATTCTATGAATCCTTTTTCTACACCTCCCTCTCCGCGTTCAGCTTCCTGAGCCTCCCTGCCTCCGCGAGCTCGCTAACASAGTTACACAACCCAGCACCTTCTCCATGGGTATTTTAAGGATTCTCCCAGCAGCCTCCCAGCGCTGTTCCGGACTCTGGGGGATCCCATGACGGCGGTTCCGCGTTCTCCTCACAGCAGCGCTATCACAGCCCCGTTCCCTTCCCAGGGATGCTCCCTCTCCACGGCACTCCGTGACACTCCAAGGTCTCTCCCGGAGCGGCGGGAAGCGCCCGGCCCGGGCTGTCCCCTCAGGAGCGGCTCTCCCCTCACAGCTCCCGCCCGCCGCGGGGGGACGGCACCCGCTGGCCGGAGCCATAGCGGGACCCTCACGACCCTCACTCACCCCGGCGCGGCCGCAGGGTCCCCTTCGATGTCCACCTCGGGCTCCTCCGCCGCCGCCATGACACCGGGCCCGGCGCTATCGCGGGAAGGGGCGGAGCGGCGCGGCGGAGATGGGCGGGAGCAGCGGCCCGAGGAGCGGCGGAGGCGGAGATGGCGCTGAGGTAGGCGGAGCGCGCCGCGGCCGGGGCGGGCTGAGGGACGGGGCCGGGCAGCGAAGGGGGGGAAGGACAGCTGAGGGCACTTGGGCGGGCCGTGAGGGGACGTGACCGGCCGCTGAGGGGACCCGGGCGGGCCGTGAGGGGACATGACGCACTGTGAGGGGACATGACCGGCCGCTGAGGGGAGCCGGGCGGGCAGGGCAGTGAGGGGACATGACGCACTGTGAGGGGACATGACCGGCCGCTGAGGGGCACGGCCGTGCTCTGACAGGACATGTCCGGGAGCTGAGGGGACATGGCTGGGCTGAGAGCGAAGGGGAAAGGGGTGGCAGTCTGAGGGGGAATGCGAAGTTCATCGATGGAAGGCTGGAACCCGCGCTGGTGAGGGGCGCCCTCAGAGATGTGTGCGGGTCTGGGCCCCTCTCTGTGAGAAGGACGTGGAGGGGCTGGAGCAGAATTGTCATGAGTGGCTGAGGGAGCTGGGGGGGCTCAGCGTGGAGAAAAGGAGGATCAGGGGGACCATCTTGCTCTCCAAAATTCTCTGACAAGAGGGTGCAGCCAGAGTGGGTTCGGGCTCCACTACCGGGACAGGATGAGAGAGAGCGGCCTCAAGTTGTACCAGGGGAGTTTTGGATTGGATATTCGGGAAAATTCCTTCATAGAAGAGGTGATTAAATTTTGGAACACCCTGCCCAGGGTGCTGGAGTCCCCATCCCTGGCGGTGTTTAAGGAAAGACAGGATGTGGAACTCRGTGCTGCTGTTTGACAAAGTGATGATAGATCACAGATTGGACCCCATGACCTTGGAGGTCTTTTTTTGACCTAAATGGTTCTGTGATTCTGGGAACCACACAGGCTGTGTGCYCCTATGTCATTCAAGCATGTCATGTCTGTTCCTTCACCAGGGCATTGCCAGGGTCAAATTCAGGTGTTGTTTTATCGGCAACAAAAAAACAGCTTTGTTGTCATACATTCTTAAATCCATGTTTCATTTCACAAGAGGTATTTGGGTGTTTAAGAGGTATTTGGATGTTTGTGGTAATTTGGCTTGTAATCTGAAGCCAAGTGTAAGGGTTAATTATCATTATACAGGAAACAACCCCACAGAACTTTCTGTTGATTCAAAAAGTGTTTCTGTTTTTATTTGTGTTGTCATCTCAATACAAATATTTTGAACCAACAAACCCTGTTGCCACCTTTTTATTCTGAACATTTAATCTTTGTGCTGGAATGGATTTGAAAGTAAAATTAATGAATGGCAAATGCAATGTTTTTTGTTATTTCTACTTAAAAATACAATGGTATAATAAAGGATAGAAAGAAAACCGTTAACAATTGTTGAATTGTTGAATAATAATTGTTGAATTGTTGAAATCTTGAAGATCCAGACATCTTCTCATAATAGATTTTTTAAAATTGTGATTTTACCAAACAAAGCTTAACTAAGCTATCCACACAGGCTAATATTCACAGATACATGAAAAGATATTTTCTATCTTTGTCTTGATTTATACTACAGGAGGTCATACACAATGTGTTTAAGGTTAGGGCTTTTTGAATAGGTGCCAAATATGGGATTCACGAGAAGCAGAAGACTAATCAATACTTAGAAGTCTAACAGAGTCTTTAAGATCCTTGTTTCCTATGACCACCTTTGCTAACTCAATTCTGCCAATTTGAGCACAATTCTCAATCATATTCTCTGGAAAACTATCCAAATTACATGAAAGAGAATTCTGCACTTACATTCAGCAGTTTTTTCTTTACATCTTCATTTTGTTATTAGCATTTTTCTTCTCAGTAGGGTTACAATTTGAGCCTGATTTTCTGTTTCATTAAATTCTGCTACTTGCAGTGGAGTCTTTCTGAGGCTGTTCACGGCAAGTAAACTTGCTTTTTCCCCTTGTGACCAGTTGAGGAGGGCACTCACAGCACTGACATGTCCAGCCTTGCAGGCGCAGTGCAGGGCAGTGTCTCTGCTGCTGTCCGAGGCATTGATGGCAGCCCCGTGGCTCAGGAGGAGATTTATCAACTTTTCATGTCCATACTCTGCRGCAATATGCAGGGCTGTCTTCCTCCAAATATTTCTGTCATTGATARTTTTATTTTTTCCTGAGGCCAGGAGAATTTTCACGATCTCTGTGTTTCCTTTCATGGTGGCATAGTGCATCGGGGTGCATCCATCCATGTCCTTRGCTCCAGCTTTCCCTTTCTTAGCTAGCAGCAATTCCACGATGCTGAGGTATCCTCTCATGGCTGCAGCGTGCAGGGGAGTCTTCTTTTCCTTGTCCTGTGCGTTGGGGTCAGCTCTGGCCTTCAGGAGTACCTCTGCCATTGTTTTGTCTCCCTGCTCAACAGCCAGATGYAGAGGGCACTTTGACTGCTTGTCCTGAGCATTAACGTGGGCTTTGTTGTASAGCAGCAGCCGGGCAACAGTGGTGTTACCTCTCTGACTTGCGATGTGCAGGGGAGTAACAAAATCTTTAGTGACAGCATTAATATTGGCCCCAGCACCGATTAAAAGGCGAACCAATGCTCTCTTATTATGGAGCACAGCGATGTGGAGCGGGGTTTCCTCAGCTTGGTTGCTGAGRTTTGTGTCCATCCCCCTGTGCAGGAGCAGATCTGCGATGGAAGCAGCCCCAGCCCGAACTGCCAAGTGCAAAGCCGTGTCTGCAGCAGGAGTCCTTGCTCCCAGGTTTGCTCCTTTTTCTATGAGAACTTTTGCTGACTCTGCTTTGCCCATTKCACAGGCCAACAGCAAAGGAGTGTAATGCATTTGGTCGTGGGCATTGATATCTGTGCCTCTGTCAACTAAAGCTTCTACAATTCCATGCAGATTCTTCTGTACAGCTCTGAAAAGAGCTGGCTCAAATAAGTCAGAGGACAGATCTTTAGAATATTCCAGTAGTATTTTGAAGATGGATGGGTGGTTACTGTTGAAGACTCTTTCAACCACGCTGGAGTCAACAGTGGCTCCAGCTTCTAGGAGTACTTTTGCTGTGTTTTCAGATCCCTGAGAAACAGCATAACTGAGAGCAGTCTGTCCTCTCTCATCCTTTACTTCAGTGGAGGCACCAGCCTCTAGAAGCATTTTGGCCTGGCTGCTCTCATCTTTGAGAGCTGCCATGTGCAAAAAGTTGTGCTGGTTCCTGCAGCTCATTGCCTCTTCTTTCAGGAACATCTTCAGTATGTGCCTGTGGTTATTCTCTGCAGCCCGGTGAAGTGGTGTCTTGCCTTTCTTGTCCAGACTGTACATGGAAGCACCACCTCGGAGAAGCACCTTGACTGYGCCTCCATGGCCTTTCTCAGCAGCCCTGTGCAGGGCTGTTCTCCCTTTCCTGTCCCTCACACCTGGTTTTGCACCTTTGCTGAGCAAATATTCCGTGATGGATGGAYGGCCATGAGCAGCTGCAACATGCAGAAGTGTTTCACTGGAAGGGTTTAGCACATTGAGATCATTATCTTTCAGTGTTTTCCGTAACTCAGAAAGGGAGCCTTTAGCAACTGCAGCAAAGATGTTGACARCAGCATGATCTTTTCTAGGTTTTGTTGCCCTTGAAAGTGGAGTAACCTTTCCTTTCTTTATAATAGCCCCTTTGTTCTTTTTTTCCTGAGGTCTGTCCTTTTTCCCCTGGTGCTGTTCACTGCTATTTTCAAACCAAACTTTATCTTTTTCAAGTAAATACCCAAGCAACTGTCTTCTGGCATCTCCAATGCTTTCATTTACTTCCCCAACATAATTTCTTATCTTGCTGTAAAGTTTTGGCTCCACTTGCTTTAAACATGGATAAAAAAAGAGCCTGCAGGCTAGTTCACCTTGAGAAATGAGTGTGTCTAAAACCCGAAAGTTCTTTTCTGTTCGTGTCCTGTAGAARCCCAGGATCAGTTTTTTCTCTGGGGTAAAAATACTGTTTTGTATCAGGCAGTGCAGGAGCTGGTCTGGGTCATTTATGCCTTCTACAAGCTCTTCTTTTTTAGTCCTTAGAACTTCAATTGCATATGCATCTGTACACAGGCTGCTCGAATGCACGATCATGTTGCTAATCAAAAAGTGAATTGAGGTATTGTTTAAAGGTRAAAAGGAAATAGCAAAGCAGGCTCACATAATTTCAGTCTTTTCATAGGACTATGAACCAACAACCGTTGTAGATCAGTGATAAAACTTTAAAGAAATCAAAACTCYCTCACCTTTGAGTTTCTAGTTGTTAGAAGTCCTTTGATCTTCTCTGTTCTTCCTTAGCAACCGGTACAGCTTAATAACAAAACAAAAGTCTGTGACGTGTAAAGATATTTCACTTGGAAGCCTTCTTCCAGATTTTTAATGCATAATTGGGGATTACAAAAAATGCCTTTGTGAATCTGATATTTGAATAGAAGATAGTTGTTAGTCGAGTTTCTCTGTTCCTCTGGCCGAGCTGGTTCATAAATGACCAGTCAATTAAACACGACAAAAGAAAATTCACAGCGTAGTTACTGTTGCCATGATCACACACCTTGTGTGAACTGAAATGAAAGAGTGCACACTGCCAGCTATGCAGGCCAAAACCCTATAATGCAATGAAATAAAAGCATAAAGACCTAGATAAAAATAAACTGCATAAGCAGCTGGTTATAAAAAGTGATCCAGCCTTTCTAATGTGAGCTACAGCTCCAGTCAGGGGTATATTTAAGGYCATTTACCTTGTCATTCCTGCTCTAACCCAGAGTCTGTCTGGAAGTTAATTCTTTTACATGAGATGGATCAAGGCCTGTGATTCAGTGTGCAATATTTAAAGTATAATTAGAGCTTTGATTCTGTGTAGTCTTCCATACGGATGTAGGATCTTGGAATCTAGCTGTAATTAATTTAACTTATTGGTGTTTCAATTCCCTATGGAAGAGAAGGAAATAAAATAATAATWATCCACACATTTTGAAACCAATTTGAGAGAGAAATTGAGTTTACGGAGT